GGTTTTGAGGGTCTAGGATGGGCAAACATGACTACTACGTCTTGTACTTGATTAACTTTCATAATCAACTGATTACACAAATGATCTGTTGAGAATCCCTGAGCAAAATATTTGCCATTAATTATACATACTTAACATTTACTGAAACTCTCAAGCTAACTGCATTTAATTTTAGAAAAATAAATGTAGCTGAATTCCTACTTAATGAACTGAATAATGGTCGTGTGTCATTCGGTGGCCTCCAGGACACTTGGCCGGGTGTGGTTTAACAGGGCCCAGCCCTCCAGCCCTACGCAGAGCTGGCCGGGACGTGCCTACGCCATGCCCCGGCCATTGTCAGCTTGGAAGGCGGTTCAGGTGTGGAGCTTCCATTGAACCCAGCGCCAGAGCCCTCCAAGTCTCCAGAATGTTGACCTAGCAGAGACCACTTGTGTGAAATGACGACATAGAGGGTCCCCGTACGGGCGGAGTCTGAAGGACACGGATGAGGCAACCAGCATTCTGCAATGTGTGTTCAAGAAGTCAGACCTCCAAACAAATCCACTGGAATGGCCAGCAAATGCACAAGCTTATGTAAGTCATGAGGGCACTTAAGACCAGGAAGGGGCCGTTTCCAAGAGAGTCAATTATGGACTCTGAGGTCCTTGGGACACACAGAAGGCTGGAGGAACTTAGATGGGACCACAGCGGTGACACTGAAGTCCCAGACACCCTACGGCCCCTCCCTGAGACATCTCCACTGACCTGGGGCTCCAAGGAATCCAGTTTGAAATCCCCTCTCTAGGTCTTCTCTGATGCTTCTTCTGTTTTTTGTTGCATTTTTAAATTTAAATAGTATTTTTTTATTATTATTAAGCATAGTTCTTAAATATATTAAAATAAAACTTAATAAATCAACATCTAAATGAATAACACAGCCCTTCCCATCCCTAGTATTTCCCCAAGCTTATTGACTCACTTGGGGTTATTTGCCTAATGGCTATCAAAATTCAACCAAAAGATAAAAACCAAATATTTTTTAGTGTTTTGTGGCTGGAAATGCATTTGGAGAGGTCGCAGGTAGAAATGCTCCCAGGCTGTGGGCTTAGCATGAACTGAGACGCAGAGGTCTCTTTGATGGGAGTTTGAGGGAAACAAATGGTCAGAGTGACTTGAGCGTGGGATATGGCCTGGTGGGGAATGCGGCCAGCGGCTCCATTGCTGTCCAATTGCAGGGTCCTCAAACGCTGGGCTGGGGAGGTTGGTCCTCCCCGAGATGATGGGACAGCCATACGTGCCGCCATGTGTAAGTAGTAGCAGCACGAAGATGAAGTGAAAGCCCAGGTACAGCGCCGAGTGGGGCAGAGTGCCCAGCCACTGCCTTGGTGAGCTTGCGGCCAGCGAGGATAAATCAGAATAATGATTAATGCCAGCGTGGCATTGGTGCACTGACCGTCACAGTCTCGGCAACCCAGGAATCTCTGCACCTGGAGTTGGATGTCAGTGATACGGATATCTCTGTGGACAGCCAGCCACAGACACATATGACTTTGTTCAAAAATGAATTAAAACATTTAATTTGAAGAGGAACTTATGAAATCTGCCAAGTGGGTGGTGGACATTCCCTTATCAGGGACAAGGAGCTCTGAAGTCCTGAGTCTTCATGCCCTCTGTGTGACTCTGCCACTTGCTGGCCTCATTTTCTCATCTGTGAATCAAATGACAGGTTCAGCTGAATTTTCAGGCCCTTTCTAGGGTAATAAACACCCTACATGTGCACGACTTTTCAACATTGTGCTTTTGAGTTTGCAGTATTTTCATTAAACATCATAAACCGAGATCACGTCATCTGGTATTACCATATGAAATTTATTGTTTGCAATTCTGCTGAAATACAGCATGAGCATGGGAGCAGCACTCATATTGAAGCTTGTTTGTCCTTTATTAAACACTAAATTCTACATCCTTACCCTCTCAGCCATCTCGTAGAATCATTGGAAAAATACAGTTAAAACTCGAAAACACAAGTCAGAGCTCATAAAAGAACTCATAAAAATAAAGGTCCTGAAATAATTCCAAAATGAAATACAAAATTGTCTCCTAATCGCTATGATAAGAGAGTCCCCACGGCCTCAACGTTCTAAACATTTCTTCTCTCACCTATTTGTTTCCCTCCATATCTGCAGAGCCCACCGTGCATTTGATGGGGACGGAGACTTTCCTCCGTGACCTTGAGCTGGGTCCTCCCTGCTTCTGCAGGGATCTCACCCCATTCTTCATCCCACTCTGCCTCCCTGTGGTATCATTTCTCCCTCTTCTGTCTGCCTGACCATGTCTTCCACTCACTCTATAAACTTCCCCAAACTCTCACTTTCTGAATGTACCGTATCTCAACAATTCTAAGATACACATTTTTCATATTTACCATCTCTTTAATCAAGATACTTCTTACAACAAATGCCCCTGCTATTATTTGGTTTGTTGGCCCCCTCCCAATCTCATGTTGAAATTTGATCCCCAGTGTTGGAGGTGGTGCCTGGTGGGAGGTGTTTGGGTCATGGGGGCAGATCCCTCCGGAAGGGCTTGGTGCAGTCCTCAAGGTAATGACTGAGTTCTCGCTCTGTTAGTTCCTCAAGGTGCTGGTGTTTAGAAACTGCTTGGCACCTTCTCTCTCTCTCTCTCTCTCTCTCTCTCCCCCCCCCCCCCCCCCCGCTTCCTCTGTCGCCGTGTGATCTCTCCACACGCTGGCTCCCCTTCACCTTCCGCCTGAGTGGAAGCAGCCTGAGGCCCCCACCAGAAGCAGATGCTGGTTCCATGCTTCTTACACAGCCTGCAGAGAAGTGTAAACCAAAGAAACCTCTTTTCTTTATAACCTACCCAGACTCAGGTATTCCTTTACTGCAATGCAAAAGGAGTGATACAGTGCCTTCGATTCTTCTGCAAAGCTTCTTTCTTCTTGGTACATAAAGCAGCAGTGTGCCTTACAACTGATGCCATCTTAGATTCAACACAGTGCAATGCAAAGCCCTTCTGTGCCCCCTTATGCTACCTGCCTTGAGTTAGGTTCTTCGAGATGATCAGAAAATACCTTTTGGATACTTAGTTAATGAGGATGTAATATGAGGCTTCACAGACAGCAAGAGGAAATGCTCCCGGAAGCTCCCAGACAAGTCGGGGAGAACGGGAGGCTTCAGCCCGCGGGCGAGCAGCAGGACCGCGATGACCCGACGCAGCTGCCATGGTTCAGGAGCAGCTCGGGTGCCAGCTCAGGCTCAGCTGCCCGTCACGCCCAGAGTCAGCCCCACGCTGCAGCTCCCTGAAAGGAAAGATCGGATTGATCTGGCCAGTCACCATCTGTGCCGTCAGCAAGACTCTCCTGCCAGGCATCCACTGCTTACATGCATTAGACACCAGCCCGTTCCAGATTGAACTAGCTGTGGCCACACCTGGGACAAAACATGGCGACCTGCAGGTAAAGGACCGCTCAGACGAGGCTCTGGCGTAGCAGGTATTCAGAGAATAGCTTTTCCTTCACGTGTCCCTCTAGCTGACACTCTATTTGTCAGATTCCCTTTTCTATCCAAGTTGGTTAGAAGAGTGGCCCACACTTGCTGTCCCCACCCCGTCTTCAGTCTTACTCCTGTCCCTGCACCTCCGCAGGGACTGCTCTTGCCACACTCATCTCGGCTTGACCTCGTGTGCGACGACTCCATTGACCTCTTCCGGTCTCTGCCCTAGCAGCCTTTGGGGCTACAGCAGAAGCCATGGTAACCTGTGATGCCCCGGACCCGTCACCAGGTGCTTCCGAATGCACTGCCAAGGGCCCTTCTCCAGGGTCTCGCCTGGCTGTGGGATCCTTCCCACGGGGACATGCGAAGGAGGTTCTCTCACCCAGGGCAGCCTCGGGCTATGCTTGGCTGGTAGTGGCGCCACCAACCTGACACCCTTCTTTGTGCCTGTGTGTGTGTGTGTGTGTGTGTGTGTGTGCACTCAACAAATGTTTATGGCATCACATTTACTGTGAGTCTCTCAGAAGCATTCGTGTTTCTTTTTTATATTGAAACAAAAATTGCAAAAAGTAGTGCAAAGAATTCCCTTATATTCCTCAGGCCACTTCCCTTAACGTTATCGTATTTCATAGCCTCGGTCTAATTAACAAGATTAGGAAGCTAACAGTGATGCAATATCATTAACTCAACTACCACTTTTCTGCTCATGTCCTTTCCCTGTCCCAGAACCTCAGGTGTTATTTCTCCTCAGTCCCCCCCAGTCTGGGACATTTCCTCAGTCTTATCTTTCATGCCAGCACCCCTTCTAACAGCAACTATTCCATACTGCTCTCTTTGCCACTCTGAACTGAAATTCATAAATAATATCACTGCCTTCTACAAGATTCATTTGCTGAAAATGTAAATATAAATGTGTGTCTATACATGTATGTATATATGTAAATGTCCAATAAAATGTGAATAGAAATTAATTTCATCAGTTCATTATTATAATTCAGAAAATAATCTTTTCTTCAGAAAATACTTTTAAATTTGAAAAACTAAAAAGTAAATTAGGAAGAAAGAAAGACATGATAGTAAGAAAATGGGCTCTGGAATCAGACTGCTAGGGTTTGAATAGCTGTGTAAACTTGTGCAGGTTACTTAACCTCTCTGTGCCTCAATTTCTTGTTTTACCTGTTTGATCCTGTTGTTGTAAGGGTTAAATTATTTTTTTTTTTTTTTTTTTTTGAGACAGAGTCTCGCTTTGTTGTCCAGGCTAGAGTGAGTGCCGTGGTGTCAGCCTGGCTCACAGCAACCTCAAACTCCTGGGCTCGAGTGATCCTTCTGTCTCAGCCTCCCGAGTAGCTGGGACTACAAGCATGCGCCACCATGCCCGGCTAATTTTTTTTTTATATATATATATATCAGTTGGCCAATTAATTTCTTTCTATTTATAGTAGAGACGGGGTCTCGCTCTTGCTCAGGCTGGTTTTGAACTCCTGACCTTGAGCAATCCGCCCGCCTCGGCCTCCCAAGAGCTAGGATTACAGGCGTGAGCCACAGCGCCCGGCTAAATTATTTTTTAATACATGTATGAGTTCAGTGTCTGGCAGCATATAGCGAGTTTTAACTTATGTTTTTAAGACAGTAAATCATATTTTCTTTTGTTCTGACACAAGGAGTATCAAACTTTTTCCACTGAGGGACTAGTAGTAAATATTTTAGGCTTTATAGGCCATACGCACTCTCTGTCATTTGTTTGTTTGTTTGTTTGTTTATACAATCCTTTAAAAATGTGAAAACCGTTCTTGGCTTGTGTACCTTAGCCTGCCAGCCCAGTCTTAGCCAGTGGTCACAGGCAGATTCATCTGCTGTACTCGGAAAGCCTCACGCTTCCACCCTTTTGGCTTTTTAAAAACTTAAACACAAATAAAAGTACAGAGAGTATGTAACACCCATGTATCCTTCATCCCACTTCAAAAAATGCTAACTGTTGTGTGTCTACTTTAGCTTTCCTCTTTCCCCGACGACTCGCAGCAACCGTGCAGACGTCCTTGTGCGTCCTTCTCAGCTGGCGAGTCACTGAAATCAGTGACCTCTCCTGGCCGGGCCTGAAGTCGGACTGCAGGCCCCGTCTTCGTGCAGGCAGGTGGCCGTGCCGCTGCACGGGCACTGGGGAGGGAACGGTGACGTCGCTCCTCGGCGCAAGCAGTGATGAAGCAAGCGGAAGTGCGTCTTCCTCGTCCTCTCCCCGCCCGCCACACGCCACACGGAGAGAGAGGGACCAAGGGCCACGTGACAGAAACAGCCAGGGGCCTTGGAGTTCCCAGTTTCAAGTTCCTTGAAACTTCCACATCAGACTGTGATGTACGTGGGAATAAGTAAGCATTTATTGCATTAAAGCTATTAAAATTTCAGGGCTTATCTGTTAGAGCAGCTGTTGTTATATAAATTTCAACATGTTCACGGGTTTCAATTTTACTAAGTGTGTATTTATCTGTATATAATATATAGTACCACTTTGTATTTCAAACGTTTCAACAAATAACAATATATGGTACATAGCATTCCACTGCTTGCTTTTTTCTTTTTTCTTTTTGTGCTCAACAGTATGTTTTTGAGATCTATCCACATTGGTAAATGTTCACACTTTAACAATGTTAATTATTTGTTTGACTAGGTCTATAAAAATATATTAAAATATTTTAATTAATATTTTTAAATGATAACATGTATGAATCTGCAAAAGGTTTCAGATTGTTTCTGGCTGGAATATAATTAGCACTTAGTCAGCTGGTCATACACACTGGTAAAGTAGCTTATGTTTTACCTTCCATTTTCACATATCTCCTTCTATTCTATTCTCCCAAATAAAACAACCCCTGTGAATTAGAGAACACTGATGTTATCATCTAATTTGGCGAAGAGCTCAAATCCCAAACACCTTCTAGTTGTGTGACTTTGGTTGCATTATTGGTCACTCTGTCACTCAACATATTCCTCTTTAAAATGGGAATGAAACTTGAACCATATCTTTGGGTTATTGTGAGAATTAAATTAGCTTTTGCTTTCCCCACCACAGGGCACATAGTAAACACTCAATAAATGTTAACTATTACAGTGCCTCTCAGAAGAAAAACGTGACTAAATGATGTATAGTTAATATAAAATGACAATCCTGAACACAGCAAGCTCATGAAGAAAACGGCGCTCTTTGAGCTGAGTGGCTGTGAGTATTTCTACTGTGTATGTCTCTCCCTCGTTCATTCATTTTGGGTCCACTGGGACCTATTTGCAATCACAAAGTATTATTGAATTTAATATTTTAATTGTGAAGCAAAAATTTAGAATTCCAAATTTTCAGGCAATTTGCCAATTTTTTTTTCTAGTGAATAAGAAAAATGCCTCCTATTAGTCAGTTTCACCAGTTGCGTCACTGGGTGCAGCTCCACAGGTTCACCATTGTCCCGTGTCAACCACACACCTTTTTATTCCTGTGACAGATCCTTTTCTGCTTAACCCAGCCTTGTATTACAGATGCCTCACACACAGCCACTCTTCCTTTTCAGCGATAAGCATGTCCCTACTTCTTTTCTTCTCCTTGAGCTTAGATCTCTGATGTTCCAGCCCTGTGATATTTCCGTCCCTCTTTGCACTTTCAGATGTGAGCTCCTGATCCTAATTTGTTGTCAATTGAAATGTCATGGAATAGTGAACAGCTACTCTTGTGCAGTGCAGCATTAGTGGTTTCTTAAAACCAAACCTTCACATCTAAATTCTGGTTTTTTACAAAGAGGGTTAGGAACACATAATTTTATTATTAAAAAACAACACAAAGCAAAAACTTTTTTCCCCCAGGTCACATTGCTAGTATGGTGATGCTTTTTGCCACAACCAGGTCTTTTGACCCCAAATCTGTGCTGTTTCCTCCCGACTCCAATGCCTCCCTTGAGCAATACTGTGCAAGTCCCACAAGGGCATTTGTTCATGTCCCCAGTGTGATAGATTGATTCCCGTAATAAAAGAAGCAACTCTTCTTCAGACTAGCAGAATTACAAAATTTAAAAGTGGAAAGTGTCTCTAGAAGTCCTACTCTGAAATGTCAACCCAGTGATTTTCCTGTTAATGATGCTTCTTCCTAATTGTTTATTGACTCTGAGCTTCCCATGCATTGTATTGTTGTAACGCCTTTGCAAGGCAGGGCTCGTTCTTCCCTGTAAAGCCAACCTGTGTGCCCAGGGTCCCCCAACAGGTAGGTAGCAGAGCTCGCTTCACATGCCCGCAAGGCTGACTTCAGCACCCAGGAGCTTTGCTCAGCGCCACTGTGCCTCTCTGAAACACTAGCACCAAAATAGAACGCTGGGCTGTGACGCCATTTGCCCACTTACTGATCTGCATTCCACCCTCAGGCATGTCCCTACTTATTTTCGTTCTTTATGCACATAGATGAAATATCTATCTGTAGGGAAAAAATTCAGAAAACGTCCTTGCCTTATTTTACAAAATTATAACAGATCAAAGGGGAAAAATTACACAAAGAATCAATGATAACCCTAGGGGAAGGGCTTCAGAGAGAGAAAAATCTAGCTTGTTTTCCTAATTTCTGGTCATTAAATTACTTATCGTTCTGAATTCTCCTGAGTCACACTTGTAAAGAGGAGAGCTTCTAAGGGAGAAGAGGCCAGCGAGGGTGGAAGGAAGAAAGCTGAGACCAGCAGACGGGCTGAGGGAGCCAGTCACAGGGAATGGGTACCCTGGCTAGCACGTGCTGGGGGCGGGGGGCCTCTTCTTGGCCATCCGGGGATGCATCTGTTACGGCTGCAGACAGTGTCTTCCCCAGAGGACACTCTGCTCTGTTATTTAAAGACCCAACAGCATTGGCAAAGTGAGTGATAGATTTTACTTACTATCTGTTGTGCAAATTTCCATCCATTGGATGCATTACGCCTATAAGTCTTTCATTTTCTAGCACAGGAACAGAGAAACGCCACACACCATGAGGGAGGTGTTCTGTCCGTTGCTTTGCACGGGAGGTATTCAGGCCTCTTCTGCTGCTTTAACTCTGTGCCTTCCACATTAAGCCTAACCCCAAGTCCAAGAGATAGTATCAGGTTTAAGAGCATTAGGTTGCATGAAAATAGGGCACTGCATTTAGACACTCTCCCCAGAGACTGTGGGAGAGGCCATGTGAAATGGCATGCTTAAAGATAGAAGTTAATTGGTGAACTTCAGATAGTTGACCGGAACTGCAGATTAATTATCTGCTGTGCTGGAGATACAGAGCCTATTGCATAGCTGCATATTTTTAGATATCAGGTCAAACGTAAGTAGAGGAAAGTAGTAAGCTTTTAAAAAAAAAATTCTTTTCTGCCTGTGGACTGAGGTAGGTGCTTGGGTCGGCAAAGAGGTAAAAAGATAAGGCTTCTTATTTCTCACATTCACAAAGATCAGTTTCCAGTCCTTTTCTGAGTAGGAAAGGGAAGAGCCTTCAATTAAATTCACCTTTCTTACACAGTCTTATATTTTAAAATGTATTGATACTCAGAAATCTTTCATTTCCCATCTCATAAAGGTAGATGGTTTTACTTTCTTAAAATTGCTTTATGATAATCATATTAAAACTACATAAAACAATCATAGGGCCTATTTTATTCACTAGATGACAAGAAAAATAATAACTTAGAAACTTTTATCATCAGATTCCTATCATATCAACTTTATTAGGAAATTATTTATGTACAAAAACTGAATCTGTTGAAAGTGTGTGATTCCAAAGTTGTGACAGTTATCTACACCCGGGAAGCCACCACGACTCAGCTTCAGCACATTCCTGTCACCCCTGAAAGACTCCTCCTCCTCTCCACAGCCCCTCCCTCCCTCCACCTGCTGCCACAGCACCCTCCCGCCTGTTTTCCCTTCAACTTTTATTCGTTTCCGCTTCTGGGGAAGAGTGAAAGTGGGCTGCAGGGATATAAAGAACTTTTAGAGTTACATCGAAAGAACTTGCAGTCTCTATGTTCTGCACAAGTATGTACTAATTTATAAAAGGTTAGGGACGAGCTCCAAATATGTTGTCTTTTTCATATTCCTGATGCCAGGTGGGGTCAGGCGGGGTTGAAGGCAAGCGGTAGCCCTGAGCATTTGAGAAAAGGCTGCAGCGGGGAGATGGGGCACATCCTCCCTCTTCTCCCAGGCACACTGGATGTGACTAATTGCTTGTCCTCAGTTAATGTAATCTGACACCTAGAAGTCACTATGGCGAGTGAGCATGAGTAAAGCATGGTGTGAGTGTCGGGGTGCAGAGAACACTGGGGGAGGGGGCAGGTGGTTTCCACCTGTATGATTTCAGCCCAAGGGTTCTGCTTCCCCGCCTCTTCTCTTCACCTGTGAGGTGAGATGTGCATAGGACTGAATCTTCTCTACAGCCCCTTCCCAGGCCTACAAATTCATGTTCAACTGTAAAGGTCTTTAAAACACCAGTGACCGTGGGTTGCTTTAAGTCAGGGTAAGCAAATTGGAATGAAAACTAAGAAGTGAAAATTTGTAGAAGAAATACTTGATGACTCAATCTCTCTTGCAGAAATGATCCATTAACCTGGGTTGTTGGGCACAATCATTAGTTCAATTGCCTTTCCTGGCTCTTTTTAACCTTTATTTTAATGGTCTGTTGCTGTGATCTGATTTTGAGAATTAGGAGGCAAATGCATAAAAAGTAAACAACATTAATGTCTCTATCTTGCTGAAAAATACTGTTTTCCTCAAGGAATTATTAAGTTCACTTTTTAAAAAAAAAAAAGATTGCAACATTGTAACTCAGCTGCTGAACCACTTTTATTTAAAGAGGTTTTGAAACCAATTAATACAAAAAATTAAAATTTTCTCAGACTTATTAGAGAAACTAGAAGGAAAACAGAAAATGATTTTTTTCTTTCTTTCTTTTTTTTTTTTTTTTTTTTGAGACAGAGTCTCACTCTGTTGCCCTGGGCTAGAGTGCCATGGTGTCCTCATTGCTTACTGCAACCTCCACTCCTGGGCTCAAGCAATCCTCCTGCCCAGCCTCCTGAGTAGCTGGGACTGCAGCCATGCCTGGGTAATTTTTCTATTTTTAGTAGAGACAGGGTCTTGAACTCCTGAGCTCAAGCAATCCTCCTCCATCAGCCTCCCAGAGTGCGAGGATTACAGGCATGAGCCACCATGCACAGCCAACAGAAAATGATTTGAGCCCTTTCAGAGTATCCTATTCCAAACAGGTTACTCATTTAGGCAGTTGTAATACCATCTCATGTTGGATTATACCTAAGGTTACAACTGAGATTATAATACCTGCCTTATATTAACAAGAAAAAATATCAAGGGAGGGGAAAGTCAAACCTCAAAAACACTTTTCTGGTTTTTCAAAGATAATTTTATGTTTTCTTCCAATTTTTACACAGTTTCTAAACTTTGGAGACATGAATCTTAGAAACATTCAACTCTTAGCTACTTGGGGCCTTCTGAGCTAATCTGCGGATGACAACACTTTCTTCTCTATTATTACCCACAGGTACCTCAAGTGAAAACTCAAATGAGTCCACTTTACATCTCATTATTAGTCTGATAAAATATCTGATGGAAGAAAACTGAAATCTGTTAATGAGGATGAAATGTGTGTATTTGGGGCAACAACTTTAATGGAACCAAACAAAGTCACATGAGTTTTTCAGAGCCCTAGTGTGAACTAAACTAAGTGATGTAATTTTTAAAATTTAATCCATTCAACAGGCCAAAGTCTTGTTGAATATGTAAGACTTGTTGAATTTAAAAAGATTTGTTGAGAAAATATATTTTAACTGCAAACAAACTTGAATATTTTCTATCCACAATTTAGAAAATGAGAATAATTTCTGAACCTGAACCAAACTGAAATTTTTTTTTTTTTTTTTTTTTTTTTGAGACAGAGTCTCACTTTGTTGCCCAGGCTAGAGTGAGTGCCGTGGCGTCAGCCTAGCTCAACAGCAACCTCAAACTCCTGGGCTCAGGTGATCCTTCTGCCTCAGCCTCCCGAGTAGCTGGGACTACAGGCATGCGCCACCATGCCCGGCTAATTTTTTCTCTATATATTAGTTGGCCAATTAATTTCTTTCTATTTATAGTAGAGACGGGGTCTTGCTCTTGCTCAGCCTGGTTTCGAACTCCTGACCTTGAGCAATCCGCCCGCCTCGGCCTCCCAGAGAGCTAGGATTACAGGCGTGAGCTACCGCGCCCGGCCTTATTTTGTTTTGTTTTTTAGAGATGGAGTCTCACTCTGTTGCCCAGGTAAGAGCTTCCCACCTCAGTCTCCCAAGTAGCTGAGACTACAATTGCTCAGCTAATTTTTTTTATAGAGATAGGGTCTTGCTATGTTGCTCAGGCTGGTCTCAAACTCCTGGCCTCAAATGATCCTCCCAACTCAGCCTCCCAAAGTGCTGGGATTATAGGCATGAGCCATCTCATGCCCAACTCATCATTTATTTAAAAGTTATCACAGATATATGATCCTCATATATCTCATCCTCCAAAGCTCATCCTCCAAAGCTAACGATGAAGATTTTATTTTTAACAGTGGTTCATATTAATACATACTATGCCCATGCAGCAAGGTTGAATATCATTTTAGTAACTCACACAGGTATATATATATATATGTATGTACATATGTATATATAGATATATGTATTATATCTTATAGATATATGTTTTATAATTATGTAATATTGCTGCCTTACAGGTAGATTAAAACCATCTTCCATGCAAAGGCATTTTAACCATAATTTTTTTTACCAGTACTCTTTGGTAAGAAGAACCAAAAACTCCCAGGGCTGTAGAGTACAGTCTACATTTTTAGGTAAGTTCTTATTTGTCCTTTTCTTCATGTTATCATTTTAGATCAGTTCAATTTCTTCTAAATCCTGACCTTATAGGCTTCTGCTAATTGGCATAGCTGGGCATGCTATCTATGGAAAAGATTAATTGTAGTGAGCTGGAACATACCGGAAGAGGGGTCAGCCACTTTGGTTGGTCCATTACCCATGGGACAAGGGAGAGCACTATCTCAGGTGTCAGTTCCTTTTAACTGACACCTCTTACCTTTGCAATTTGCTGGAGACAGACAATGGGGTGAGCCAGCATCAGCCGGGCTGCCCCAAGTCAGACAAGCACAGGCACCAACAATGCCTTCGTTCACCACTTCCAGACGCTAAGTAGGGGTAAAGGCACACCAAAGGGCAAGAGAGACCGTAGCTATCAAGACAGACAGGCTCAAGTGTCATGCTGAAGCCAAAAACTTGTACCTGGCACAACTGTAGGAGTCAGGTTGGATTACCCATGCAGGCTGGGCATCTGTCCCCTGTAGAGATGCCACTGACCTGACTGGAGTCCCTAAGGGCCTTGTGGGCTATTAGGTTGTATACCTAATCTCTGCCCACTGTGGCTGATCAGTTCTCCAGTTCATTGGCTATGGGTGATGCCATATTCTAAGAAATATTTAAAATGTCAAGGAAGAAGAGAGGGAGTTAATTAGAAAACCAGCAGATTTCTCCTGAGACAATCACATTTTCTGAGCAATGTGCCTGGGTAAATAGGATTTAGCTTCCTAGAATGCATGCTCAATTCATGATGGAAAAAAAAAATCAGATTTTTCTTAGCACTAATAATCACTTGTCTTTACTGAGTGCCTACTATAAATTGTGAACTCCATGACTTTTTGTGATTGTGTGTGTGTGTGTGTGTATGTGTGTGATTTTTGTCTCTTTGGTTCATTGCTGTATCCCAAGTGCCGAGAACAGCACCTGGCCCATAGTTAACACTCAATAAATACTTCTTGAATGAATGTTTCTTTCAGGTACTGTCATAGGCTCTAATACTTTACATATATTATTTCACTTAAATCTCAACAACTCAAATAACACATGCTGTCCACCCCCCATTTACAGATGAAAAAACTAGTCACAGAGAAGTTAAATAATTTGCCCTAGATCACACATCCAGAAGTGACTAAGAATTCAAATCCTAGTCATCTGTTTATACAGTATGGATTCTTAATCACATGTATACTGACTCATTATTTTAGAGAGTCATTATTTTATACTTATTGTACACTAAAACATGACCAACCTTACTCTGTTCCAAATATTACATGGCCAAACTCCTAGTTTGGGCTGCCGCTAGAACATTTATTGTAATTGTTCTGACACTTTGAAAATATTGTCTTTAAGATTTGCAGTTCTTCCCCCAAAGCACAGGCAACCAAAGCAAAATTGGACAAATGGGATCTCATCAAGCTAAAAAGCTTCTGCCCAGAAATGGAAACAATCAACAAGGTGAAGGGACAACCCACAGAATGGGAGACAAACTACCAGTCTGACAAGGGATTAATATATAAAGAGCTCCAACAACTCAATAGCAAAAAATCAAATAATCCAGTTAAAAAATGGGCAAAGGATCTGAATAGATATTTCTCCAAAGAAGACATGCAAATGGCCAACAGGTATATGAAAAAATGCTCATCATCATTAGTCATCAGAGAAATGCAAATCAAAACTGTAATGACGTATCATCTCACCCCAATTAAAATGGCTTTTATCAAAAAGACAGGCAATAATGAATGTTGGTGAGGATGTGGAGAAAGGGGACCGCTCATATACTGTTGGCAGGAACATAAATTAGTGCAACCACTATGGGGAATAGTATGGAGGTTCCTCAAAAAACTAAAATTAGAACTACCATATGACCTAGCAATCCCATTGCTGGGTATATATCCGAAGGATGGGAATTCAGTATATAGAAAAGGTATCTGCACTCCCATGTTTATTGCAACACTGTTCACAATAGCCAAGATTTGGAATTAACCTAAACGTCCATAAATGGATGAATGGATAAAGAAATCATGGTACGTACACACAATGGAATATTATATAGTCACAAAAGAATGAAATCCTGCCATTTACAACAACATGGATGGAACCAGAGAACATTATGTTAAGTGAAATAAACTTTGCACAGAAAGATGAATCTCATATGCTCTCACTCATACGTGGGAGCTAAATATTAAAAACAGTTGATCTCATGGAGACAGAGAGTAGAATGATGGTTACCAGAGGCTCAGAAGGGTAGCAGGGAGGGAGAATAAAGTGTGGATGGTTAATGGGTGCAAAAATATAGTTAGACAGAATGAACTATTTGATAGCACAACAAAGTGACTATAGTCAACGATAAGTTAGGGTATACTTTAAAATACCAAAAAGAGTAGATCTGGAATGTTCCTAACACAAAGAAATGTTAAATGGCCGAGGTGATGGATACACTGATTTGATTAATTCACATTGTATGCCTGTATCAAAACATCACATGTACCCTATAAAGATATATTAATATAACTATTATATACCCATAATAATTAAAAACAAAAAAAATTTTTTAAAGATTTACGGTTATCTTTCTGTTCCTTTTAGCTTTCTGCATTTGAATCTGACAGCAAAATTTGAGTTGATCCATCTGAAAATGTTAGCCTTTTTAAATGCAACTAGCCTTAAATACAACTAGCAATAGACTTCAAGATATGGCCATATTTTCCACACTGTGGGCAGCTCTTACTCTCACCTGGGTTACGAATTTGCACCAATGGAGGATGTGTTGCTTTCTTTCCAGTGCTTTTGAATGAGTTTGGCTCTGAAGATAGATGCTGTATTGAAACTTCTGGAGAAACAAGTTTCTTCTGTTGGTGCTCACAGGGGGACTGTGTGGCCAGGTCCTCATGGTTTGTCCTACTCCTTTACAATTACTAAGCCCAAACCTGACCCTGACGTATTCACTCAAAGAAAGGGAGAATAGCCCAGCCCCTGTGACTGCTCCGTCCTGAGCCAGCGATGGCTGAAGACAGCTTTTGTAACATGGGCACTTGAATTAGGGGCTGGACTGAGATGGTACGGGCAGCAGAGCGGTTATAAAACAAGGTGATTACTTTCAGCTATGATAGGATTGGGCAATGTGAGCTGCAGGTGATAAACTCTGTAACCCATGAATGTACCTCTGCTTTATCCATTTTCCATATGAGGGTTTGCTTAGTTTTTTAATTTTTTCCTAAAGGGTTGCCTTCACATTAAGATTGTCTTTTTTAAAGTTTTATAACTGTCTCATTTGCAGTAAACTTCCTTTATGTTCTGGGAATGAGGCATGGACTTGGAGCTAAATAATCCAGAATAATATTAAAAGTAAGGATTATAATCTACCTCTAGGGCTTTTTGAATAATAGTCAGATGTAGACAAAGAAAAATGGGTTATTTTCACCCAAAAAATTCATGCAACACTGGAGACAATATGAACTGGGCAGCAACACCAGCAATAACTATTTGTATTTTGGACATGTTCAATGCATAGAAATTAGAGACAAGAAATGTATTACAATTTAACAGTCTATAACCACTAAAGTATTCTGTCTAAAAGTTGGCCTGAACTACTCTCTTCTATCTTTTTAGCCCCAACTGCCAAAAAATCTAGGAGAGTAATTTAGAAAGTTCAATCATAGAAAGGCTAGAGTTTATTCAAGACCTTATGAAATAAATTTTCCAGAATACAGAGACAAAGAAACACTGGCATGCTCTAAGCAACATGTAATTGTGTATTGCAGAGAATATGAACTCTTGCCATCTTGAATAGGAAAATATTAGGTGTGTTTGGGGCTCATGAACAGTTTTCTGAAGAGTGGTTCATAACTTCATTAAATGTACATCAATAGTTATAATTTAAAGAGTTTATGTATAATATAAACTATTGTGTTAGCAAAGGGTTGAATCTTTCACACCGTGACAACATCTTCCTGCTCATCCTTTAGCCAGGATGTCTGAATGTGATGTTTAGACCCCAGCAGGGCTTCCAACTTCTAGTGAGTGAGTTGGATGTGGATCTGGGGTGCATGAGCTACATACACTGTAGGAGTAACACAATCTCAAATGAGGTGACATAAATAAATTTCTCAAAGCACAGAAGGAATGTATTTAATAGTAGACTGCTATTGCCCTAAAAATATATATTCCCCTCATCTGGTGAGCAGGTCACTGTCAGAGACACCCCCAAGCCTCATCCTGACTCTCCCTGGACAAAGTGCATAGGAGTTGAGAATGGGAATCATTTTCCTCTCCCAGTGGTGCCCACATGCTGCCAGGTCCTAGCCATGTGGCCCGTCATCTGCTAGATTCTTCCAGAGCATCTTTTTTTGTTATGCTCATTACTTACTTGAGGTTGATACATTTTATTTTATTTATATGACATGTCATTCCTACTTCCCAAAGGGATTTGAAGATGCAAACCTTTGCATAAGCAGTAGTTTCACTGGGCTTTAAGACAGGGCCAGAGCGGGATCATAGGCACTCTGGAACTACAGGTCTCTATGAGAATCTATTATGAGTCATGAGCCCTCATCATAGGAAAATGTCCCTTTGCCTCAGGGAGACCATATAATTTTTGGGGTGCGTTCCCAGATCTTCACAGCCCATCAAAGCATCCATGGATCCTCTAGAGCAGAGGTTCTCAGCCTTGGCACTGTTGACATTGAGGCTGGAAAAATCTTTACTGTGAGTCTGTCCTGTGCATTGTAGAACATGTAGCTGTATCCCTGGCCTGTCCCCAGTAGATGCCAGTAGCAATGTCCCTGCTAATTTGTGACAACCAGGAGACTCTTCAGACATGGTGACATTGCCCTTCTCCAGTTGAGAACCCCTGAGCTAGAGAACCACAATGGAACTTTATGAAATCATTTCCCTAAGTCGGAGGAAGTCCTCTTGTGCCCTTGACATGGCCAGACTGTCTAGGTGCACAAGCGGAAGAGGAGTCCACATTTGTGTGACATTTTCACATTCATGTCCTCACTTTGGCTTCCCACCAACCCAGTGAAGTAAGTGGCCACAAATGTAATAAGTGTCGAAGTCCATTTCTGTAGCTACAACAAAATACCTAAGACAGGGTAGTTTAAAAAGAAGGGGAATTTATTGCTCACAGTTCTGGAGGCTGGGAAGTCCAAGATCAAGGTGCTGGCAGGTTCAGAGTCTGGTGAGGGCCTTCTTGCTGCATCCTCACATGGCAGAGGGATGAACACTGTGCCTCACAGGGGGGAAGGCAGAGGACATAAAGGGACTAAGTTAGTTCCCTCCCACCCTTTTATAAGGCACTAATCCATTCACAATAGTGGGGCCCTCCTGACTTAATCACTTTACCAAAAGCTCCCCATCTTAGAACCACCACAATGGGGATTAAGTTTCAACATGAATTTTGGAGATGGCATGCATTCAAGCCACAAAGAGCAGCAAATCCAGGTTTACAGCCCAGTCTTCTGACTCCAAATCCCATGTGCTTTCCAGGATGTGTGACAAGGTGATTGGACTATACCTGGAAGAGCTGAGTTCTACTTAGGATTCTGGTCCTTACCCAGCCACACAAGCACAGACATTGTCTGTGACTCAGCTCTGTGTCACTCAGCCGTGTGGCAGAAAGGAAACCTCTGCCTGGCTCACAGGAATGTTACAGGAACAGATGAGAGACCGTTGAGTGACAGCACTTCGGAGACTACCAAAGCCAGTTCAAATGTAAGGCGTTATTAAATTGGAAAGTAACCATTAGCCTATAAAAATTACATGGACATCAGCACTCTAAAATCATCTTTATGAATAGAATCTTGAGAAATTATTGTACTTGTAGAATATTAAAAACTGAAATGGCCCATAGATCAGCTGTCACACTTGACATTCATTTCCTCTGTGTAGTCGAGGAGAGTGGCCCATCCAAGATCAGCTGCAAGTGTTCTGGAAAGAGGTCACTCTACAAAGAAATAAAGTGAGCTAACAATAGCTGATTATTATTACTTTTTGTCCATTCCAAAGGCTTCATTGGACTTTCAGCACAACAATTGATGCTATTTGAATATAACAAAATGAATCCTTGAATCTATAAATAATTACATGTGAGTTGCATCTTGCTTGTGCTTAAAAACAAAAAGCCCATGTGCCTCTGAATAATGGGTTTGCACGCAGGTGAGCTGGTGGTAACGGGTTTTGCCTCATAAGACTGCTGGTTCCAGAGCATGCCAATGACAATCACACCATTACGAAGGTAATTGGTTATTTCTTGCAGAATCCTTGGGTGGGAGTTAGATGCGGTCACGTCCGCTGTTAGCTTCTGGGGTGCAGTGGCAGGAATGCCATCAGTAGCCATCCAGCCATCAGATGTTGCCTTCTGGTTCCTCTTCCTAAGGATGTGGCCTCTCCAGGATGATGTTCTTATTGGATTGCTGTTTGAAGCACACAGGACTGAAAAATTTTGCTCAGCCCCACAGTTGCTTGCTTGGCTAATTTTTCACTAATTATGTCTTAGTTACATTGTTTTAGGACAGAGAAAGGAAAATGTTCAGGGGTTTTATGAAGAATGGTCAGGAGTCTTGACGAAAGTGAGGGCTACTTGGCCCGGGCACCCCAGCGGAGGCCGGCACGGCTGTGCTGTCCCGAAATCAGCCAGGCAGCACCATGCCTGAAATCGAATTGGAGAAAAGACACAGCCTTTTGAGGGAGGAGGAAACAGCAGGTGAGCTGCTAAATGACCAGCGTGACAGTCGGCCTGCTCGGCCTGGCGATGGCCACAAAACTTACACAAATTACCACAAAACAACCCTGGGTGAGACTAGATTCTGAGGTGTATGGCAATGCTGATGAAGAAAGACCCAGAAGGAACCAAGGTGAGCATCGTGCAGCCAAAATGGACTGGGCTGTTATTTAAGACTTAATGACCCGGACTGTGACAACAGCACTTCTATCAGATTAGTGCGAACACGCTGTCAGAGCGGGGCCAGAAGCAAGGCTGGGGCGTGGGGGGCAGCGGGGGGGTCTCCTCTGAGGGGAACTACAGTCTCACCGGCATTCGTCCTGAATGGCCTGCGCTGGCAGAAAGTGGGGACTGGGGAAGTTGGGGAAGAACACATGGGACTAGAAGGAGGAAAAAGTCTTCATCTCTCTGGAGCCGGGAGTGTGTTGATGCTCGGGTGAGGCGCGGATGCTTGGCCACTCGGGGAGGTGAGGGAGGCGAGGGCCACCCCAGCCAGCCTGCTAACACAGTGCAGCCTGCAGAAGCAGCAGAAAGGAACTGAACGTCCACCTCCTGCCTGCCCCAGACTTCCCACCTGCAGAATGTCGGAGTTCGGCGGAGTGTATTATTTGCCCAAATATTTTCTCCCCATAGAAGACGCCCCTTCTTCCTGGATCCCAGTGATAAGAGGACATTGAACAAAGCCACAGCAGATTTGTGAGTGAGAAATAAACCTTTGCTATTGTAAGCCATTGAGAGTCTAGGGCCCAGGTTTGTGTTGCCTTAGAATAACCTGGAAGAAGGGAATGTGGGATGCTCCACAAAGGGTTTCCAAGTGGGCAGCGCCTGGAAGAGGCATTCTGCTTATGGACAGGGCTAAGGGGACACAGAGTGGCCTGGGTAGACCTGAAGACCAAAACGCAGTAGGAACACGGAACTTTCAGGAGAAGCAGCTCAGTAGCACTCGGTGAGAAAACGAACAAATCCAAGTTCCATCGGCCTGGGAGGCGGCGGCCGCTAAGGAGTGAGCAGCTGCTCCTGCCACTGCCGCCTGGCTGCGCCTCAGATTACCCCGGGAGGCCGCGAGAAGGGAAAGGAAAACATCCTGAGCTTCTTACCCAAGTAGAGCGGGAAACACTTAGTGACGTCGTTTATGATCAATCAGCTCCAACAAGGTTTCTGCACAGAAGGAAGGGCTCAAGGACCAAGTGCAGTTATAAAGTCTCATATTTACACACTCGACTTTGTGACCATGGAATTCGCACCCTCACACCGGTGCTGTCACCTGGGGATGAAAGGCCCGGCCCTGCCCCGTGGGACATGCCAGGCCGGCTGCCCAGCGAGGGGCGCCAGTGGGCCCGGAGGCGGCAGAGCCGTGGTGCAGCCCGCGCCACCCTCAGGACCCTCACACGGTGTCCCCAGGACCCTCACACCGTGTCCCCAGGACCCCTCACACCGTGCCCCCAGGACCCTCACACGGTGTCCCCAGGACCCTCACACCTTGTCCCCAGGACCCTCACACG